AGCAATAGGCATTGAATGCCAAGGTCAAGCGTAAGCAACAGACTGGGGCTATGGAGACGAGGAGACACTGGCCCAGCCCTGCCTCATACCAACAATAGAAACTTGGGCCAGTGGCTCTCTTCTCTGAGCCTGCCTCGCGTGCTATTTCCCCTGCTGGGAACACCTGGCCTCTCCTCGCCCCTCCAGACTCACTTCTTGCTTTCAACTGAAATGTCATTTCTCAGAAAGAAACTTAAATGTCAGTTTCTCAAAGAGAAGGGAGTGCCTGACCACCCATCCCCATTATGTCAAGGTCCTTCCCCTCCCCCACACACACAATATTATATTTTCAGCCCAGAAATGAATGAATTCCATGTGGACTGGAAGCTGTGAATATACTTTTCCTGTGTGTCTGAAGCAAGTACACTCTGTTTTTAAGAAAGCATTCAGCATTCCACGCCTTGGCAACTTATCGTATCGGGGAATAAGGGAGCTGATGCCGTATATACAGGCACTCGGGGCTCAGATTCATGATGCTGCTCCCACAGCTAAAGGGAGCTGTGTCAGAGTAGCCCAGCGTGGAGGATGTGCCAAGTAGGTGCAGGGCACCAGGTCCTTGCGTTGGGAGGGGATTCTGGGTGCCTGCTGGTCGGTCCCACATTCTAGCTGATACCTGAACTTTCCTTGTCACAGCCCTGTCAAGCGGCCCACTGGGATGTACAAAGTGGTGTGTGGGGTTTGAATCTGGATCAGCCACTTGCTAGCTCTAATCCTCGGTATTACATAACTTCTCAGTGGGCTTATTTCTTTTTTTAAAAAAAAGATATTTTTATTGATTACAGAGAGGAAGGGAGAGGGAGAGAGAGAGAAACATCAATGATGAGAGAGAATCATTGATTGGCTGTCTCTTGCACACCCCCTACTGGGAATCGAGGCTGCAACCCGGGCATATGCCCTTGACTGGAATTGAACCCGGGACCCTTCAATCTGCAGGCCGAAGCTCTATCCACTGAACGAAATCAGCTAAGGCTCTGTGAGCCCATTTCTTTAAATGAAAAATGGGAACCTTCATCTCTATCTGACGGACAGAAAGAGTTGAGACAACCCTTGGGCAGGGGGGTGAGTGATCAGCTATTAACACCTTCAGTAACACCACCTCCAGCTCCAGTGTCTCCTTCAAGCTCCAGCCGTGCATTGCGTGAAGGATCCAAGCACGTCATCATCTGCGGTGCCTTGACCTTGGGCTGCTCCTCACCAGTGTCCAGGCTGCAGCAGCATCACGCTTCCCAGAAAGGCCCCGGGAAGGGCAGGGCACCAAGCCCGGGCAGTGGATTAGCCGAGGAGCCAGTGTTCCTGCCGGTTCTCCCGCTCTGCCCCGGGGGTTCTGAGGGTCAATGATTACCAGCGTTGGCTCGGGTCCTGCCGAGCCTCACAGGTGCATTAATGGGGCGGCACGTCCCCCACTCTCCCATGTCCAAGAGCTTTCTGAGAAAGCCCCAGGGGCAGAGGGGAGCGGAGCCAGGAGTCTCGGTGACCCTGTTCCATGCCACAGAGCCGGCCTGGGGCCGAGCTGGATCCCATAAGGGGCGCCTCTTGTCAGCGGGCAGAGCTCACCCAGGATGCCCTCTCAGAATGGGGTGCCCCTGCAGACACTTGCCGCCTGGCTCCTCACGGGGCTGGCCTGCGGCTCCAGCAACTGTTTGGAGCTGCTCTTTACCAGTGCTCTTGTCTGCTACTGAGTCAGGAGGGTGAGCAGGACAAGGGGGCCCCCATCCCCAGACCTTAGTGCCACGCCCGGGCAGGGCCATCGCGGGCCCTGCCTGAGACCCAGCTCCCCAGAGAAGGCGACGGAGCCTTCAGCAGACCTGTGACGCACGTTCCCTCATTCCTTCCGTCTCCTTTGACTCAGTGGTGTGTATAATGACCCGGAAAGGGTGAAGCTAAATTCCACTTTATTTCCCCTGATTTGGCTTTCTGTCATAATCAAATCAAAAGGTTTTCTGTCTGAAAAATGTCACTCAGCCTCTCCGAGCTGCAGTTTTTCCATAAGAAGTTGGTGGTGACAATGCCTATCTGTGATGAGGAGTAAATGGAAAGTGCGCACGGTCACGCAAAAGCTTACACGCCAATGTTTATAGCAGCATTATTCACGCAGGAACGGCCCCAGAGCGGAAACAACCCCGTGGCAATCAACTGAGGAACCAAGAAATAAAATGAGGTAGACACAGGATGTCCCCCCAAAACGTATACACATGTTGAAGGATGATAAATTCAGTGTTCATTCACATGGAGCTCATTTTCAAAATTAAGTGAGTTATCGGCTGTTAATGCGCACATACATTTTTTGGGACAGCCTATAGATACAGTGGGATATTATCTGGCCATAAAAAATGTGTGCTCAACATGGAAGACCTTGAAAACCATGTGCTAAGTGAAAGAACTCAGAAATTGGATTACTCCTTTTGTACAAATGCCTACAATAGGCAAATCTATTGGGAAAGAAAGATAGGCTGGTAGCTGCCAAGATGTGGGGGACGAAGCGACCTGGGGAATGAGTGCTAACGGTATGGGTGTTGCTTTTTGAGGTGCTGCAAATATTCTAATACTGATTGTGGTGATGGTTGTGCAACTTTGTGAATATGCTAATGAACCAGTATTGTGCATTGAAATGGGTGGGTTTATGGCCCGGGAATTATATCTCAATAAAGACGGTGCAGAAAAAAGTACCTGTGTAAAGTTGCCTGCCGCATAGAAGGGAGTCAGCATCACCCCCTGCCCCCCCCAATCCTCATCCCTCTTCTTCATGTCTTAGTCCTCATTTCCTCCTCTTCCCTTTCTACTTCTCCCTCCAGCACCACCCAGAAGCATACCCTAGGCCAGTGGTCGGCAAACTCATTTGTCAACAGAGCCAAATATTAACAGTACAACGATTGAAATTTCTTTTGAGAGCCAGATTTTTTGAACTTAAACTATATAGGTAGGTGCATTGTTATTAACTTAATTAGGGTACTTTTAAGGCTTAGGAAGAGCCACACTCAAGGGGCCGAAGAGCCACATGTGGCTCGCGAGCCACAGTTTGCTGACCACGGCCCTAGGCCCTTGCTGGGGCCTGAGCCGCACTCGGCACCTCCCTCCTGTAGCCAGTGGCCACTGTGATTCTAGAGGCACCACCACCAAAATAATTTTCTTGGACACAAAAGCCTTGGATACAGAAAGCGGGTTTTTTGTTTGTCCTCTCTCTTAAACAGAAGCTCTGCCAGCATATGGGGCAGCGTCTCTTCTCTGGGCATCATGGGAGACATTCTTCTTCCCACCTGTCCAGGTGGTAATGGGCGGAGCCAGTGAGCAGAGAGTGGACACTTCTCACCACCCACCCGCCCTGAGTTCCAAGGGGGAGAACATTGCACAATGTGACCCTGAGCCGGTAGCTCCAGGGTGAAGCCCCGTCTCAGCTCTGCCCACGCTGACCTCTTCCCTCCGGGGCCAGAGGTCAAGCTAAAGCCACGTGCTTGGGAGTCAGGTCAGCAGTTCCCCACAGCATAGCAGGCCCTTAGGGTCACAGGCTATCTATAGGATGCCCCGAGGGGGGCAGGAGGGCATTCATGTGGCCTTGACTCCACCCTGCTGCACACAGCCCCAGCCTCATCTTGACCTCCCACACTCGCTCATCCTCCCGTGGGAACTCAATTTCATTCTCTCTTTCTCTCCTCCTTTCAGCACAGGTTTTAATTTTTTTCCAGCATTGTGTTCCTTGCCCACAGACCTTTTTCTATTCCTGGGTCAGTGATGTTAATCAACCCACTGTGTGTTCCCAGGCTTGGCCCTTTCCTGAAGGCAGGGCTAGCATGCTTCTGAGCCAGGGCCACTAGCAAGAGCAAGACAGAATGTACCAAGCCCCCACCACCCCCATCTCTCTGTTCAGTTGCCCCCCTTAAACAGAGCCTCATGGGATTCATACACGCCATCGGGACCAGGCCCAGACCTTACTAAGTATCATAAGTGACTAATGGCTTGGGGGCTGAAACTGAAGTCTTCTAGCCTGTCCTGTTATGGCACTAATTCCTCCGAAAGGCACTGAGGCCTGTCTACCTGGGGAATGCGTGCAGGCGCCCCACAGTCTGGCCTTGGCACGTGGGCAAGTCTGGCTTGAATTCCAGCTCTGCTGCTGGTGGTGCGTGAATGAGCAGGCCGCCTGCATCCTACAGAGCTCACTCCCCAATATAATCGATTAGCCCGGAAAACAGAACAAACTGAAAGCCACTATGAGACGTTAGTGAGCGGACAAGACCCTGGAGCTTATGGTGAGTTATGTTTGCTTTAGGGGGCCGTGGGGAGGGGGGAAGGGCGGAGGGGGGTGTGTCTGTCTTGCTGTTCTGCCCACATCTAAGTTTCACTTTTCTTCTTTTCATACTCCCAGTAACTGTACCCATTTTCTTCTCTTTTTTTGTTTGTTAAATATATATTTTTATTGATTTCAGACAGGAAGGGAGAAGGAGAGAGAGATAGAAACATCAATGATGAGAGAGAATCATTGATCAGCTGCCTCATACATGCCCCCTACTGGGGGTCAAGCCAGCACCTGGGCATGTGCCCTGACTGGGAATCGAACCCATGACCTCCTGGTTCACAGGTCGATGCTCAACCACTGAGCAATGGTACCGGCCGGGCAACTGTACCATTTTCAACAGGGGGTTTATCTCCACATCCTCTAGGCCTGACATGGTCCCTCTGGGCTGCCCTTGGCCTCATGGAGAAGAGAAGAGAAGGGAAGAGGGAAGGGAAGGAAGGGAAGGGAAGGGAAGGGAAGGGAAGGGAAGGGAAGGGAAGGGAAGGGAAGGGGAGGGGAAGGGAGGGGAGGGGAGGGGAAGGGAGGGGAGGGGAGGGGAGGGGAGGGGAGGGAAGGGAAGGGAAGGGAAGGGAAGGGAAGGGAAGGGAAGGGAAGGGAAGGGAAGGGAAGGGAAGGGAAGGGAAGGAAGGCCACCAGGAGTTGTGAAGAGATGGACAATGGTCTGAGCACTGACCAGAATGCTGGCCCCTGAGCACTGGGGGCGTGGGGTCTGCATTGCTGGCAGCGCTGACCGAGAGAACGTCACCACCGAAGGCCAGCAGTGGGGTTGGCAGAGCAAAGGTGGAGCTCACAGGTGTCCTGGAGGCAGAGAAGGGACAGGCTGTACGGTGGTAGAGACGTAGCTTTAAACCCAACTCCTTCCACTCGTCACAGGAGAAACCGCTCTGCTTCTCTGAACCTGACTGCTATCCACCACAATGGAAACACAGAGATAGTACCTGCTTCCCAGCACGGAGACGGGTGCCTGCAGCGGCCCCAGCACGGGGGACCTCCATAGGGCAGCCCCCTTCCTTGCTTAGTGGGGCTGACGAGCCCAGATGGAGAGCCAGCCAAAGGATGAGCTGGCATTTGGGGAATCACGTGAACTCTCAGGTCTGGATTGGAGCAGGCAGCTGGCTCTCCCACCAGGCCCAGGGCAACCTCGGAAGTGCCTTCATGAGCTGCAGGGGAGATGCAGGGAAGGGCGTAGAGTCCACCCGGGCAGATGCCAGGCCTTGGAAAGCAGTCTCTGCCTGCCTACCCCTGTCCTCCCTGGCTCTCCCCGAGACTTTCTGCCGTGTGGGGAGGAGGAGGGGACCACGGGCTCCAGGCAGCTATAAAGGGGATGTGTAAGGAGCACTTTGGTGACCATGAAGCCCAGAGAGAGAAGTCTTTGTTTATGGGGCTGCTAGGGGAAAATTAACAAAGGTGGGGGCAAGGCTGAGGATCTGAGAGAAGATTGCTCATAAAACGATGAGATTCGATTAGACCATGAAGATCCAATTGTGCCAGACCAATTGCATTTCCTGGGAGGTTAGCGTGACCAGCCTTCCAGACCCCAGGGCAGCTGGAGCACAGGGCTTGAGGGACGTGGCACAGTCCTTTCTCTAAGGACTGGGGGCAAGGGTTCCGGTCCCAGGAGCTCGGGGCAGGTGTGAGGGGTGCACCCACCCGTGGCACACCAGGGCCGCACATCCTGGGTTGAAATGCCTTCTCTAAAAATGTTTTCTTAGCACCCTCTTATTTTCCTTCTTAGCACCTCATACAACGTATTTGGTCTTTATTTTGTTGAGTGCAGGCCAACCTCGGCTCGGGAAGGGCCACAACCAGCCCCTCCTGCAAGTGCAACCTTGATTCAATCCTGATTGTTTTCCATTAGCAAGTCTGCCTGCTCCTTCTGCACATAGACTCAGAACCCCTCTGCCCTCCTCGCTCCATCTCCCTGCTGCCACCTTTGTCCACAGAGGAAAGGAGACAGAAATCACCTGCTTAGTGACCTCGGTGCTGTCTCTCTCTCCGCCCTACGAACAGGTATTCAACCTGTACATCGGCTCTCGCTGCTATTTGCTAGCTTCTCCTGCTTCCTCCTCACCCTTGTGACCTCGAGGCCCTAGTAACCTGGGCTCTGCCACACTCGCAGCCCCAGCTCATCTCGCTGTGTCCCCACCAGCCCAGCTGCTCACACGGGCCCCGCTGTTTCTCCCTGCACTTGCTGCTCCTCCCTCGGGACTGTCCTGCTCCAGGTCTCCCTGTCCTTTAGGTCACTCAGGATTCAGCTCCTTGTCACCTCCTCACAGGCCTTTCAGCATCTGAGGTGGCACCCCCGCCTCAGTCAGCCCTTCCTCTCCGTTCATTTCAGCTTCTGCCCAACCCTGGTCAGATGCCGTCTTGGGTTTGTTTACCTGTTTACTGTGTTCACTTCTTGCCTAGCTTTCTTCTGAAGAATAGACACTCCAGGTAAGCAGCCCTCTTGTTTCCCTCTGATTCCTCAGCAGAAAATCTACAAATATTTTTTGATTAAGCGAAACTTCACATCCTCCCCGGGCTGCAAGTTTCACAAGTGTTCAGACTTGGTCTGATCTGTCCACCATATAACAACCACCACCCATGAGGCCTCAATTGTCTCTCTAAAGAGAGAGGGAGGCCCGGCTGACGTGGCTCAGTGGTTGAGCATCGACCTATGAACCAGGAGGTCCCAGTTCCATTCTCGGTCAGGGCACATGCCTGGATTGCGGGCTTGATCCCCAGTGTGGGGTGTGCAGAAGGCAGCTGATCAATGATTCTCTCTCATCATTGATGTTTCTATCTCTCTTTCCCTCTCCTTCCCCTCTGAAATCAATAAAAATAAATATAATAAAAATTAATAAAAGAGAGAGAGAAGCTATTTTCCTTTAAGTTGCAGATGAATATGTTTTTCAGTTGCTTACCCAACTTACAATCAAATGAATGTCCAGTGATGGTCTGAGACATGGCAAGTTCCTGGAGGCCAACACCACCAATAGGTGACAGGAACACCGGGCATCACTTTCATACGCATCCGGTGCATTTGTGAGCATTTTCTCTCTGCTTTTTAAGCTAAGCTTAGGTTTTCTACAATTTTGAGTGGCACATCCATCTCACATATTTCGAACTCATGATGGTGTTTGGAAATGTGTCTAAGAAATGTATGGGCTTCTGACCATGGGTTCACATGATCACAGAACTACCCATGTTCAGCCTTTCTTTAATTAGCAAAGGGTTTAAATGTTTTTCAGAGTGCACAAGCAGCTAACCCGTGTGCCAAAGCTCAGAGACACTGAAGGACATGTGGGTGAAACAGAGAGCAAATGGAGAGCGAGGGAGGGAACTGGGGCTTAGAGAGGTTGGATGGCTCATATGAGGCACAGCTGGGAGGGGAACCCAAGGGGTACTGGGTCCTTCCAAGGGGTACCACGCGTCCCTAAAGAGTGGGTGAGTGGATGGGTGAGTTCTGACCTAAGGGAAGGGAGGAAAAGCAGGAAGGCTGAGGGAAAGGACAGGACTCACCCCACCCTCCATCCCCTGCCCCCGGTTCTGCATCCCTCTCTCTTTCCCTCCTTGTTGTCCTTCTGTCAATAAATATTCATGGAGAGTCTGTCACCTGCTGGGCTCTGTGCTCAGAGCTGGGGACACAGCATTAACAAGATTGCTATTCAGGGAGGTGGAGAGAGCAAGACAGATAATAAAAAGGGACCAAATAAACACGGTAATTCTAGATTGTGATAAGGGCTAAGAAAGCCACAGTAACGAGGGTGACCTTGAAAAGCATCAGCGAGTAGAAGGGCACTGAGTCTCCCTGATGGTGGGGGTGGCAATGCCAAGATGAGAGAGGGCAGGCTCTCAGGCAGGTGGGGGGCAAGCTCTGACCCTGCCCCCTTGCCAGCCTGGGCGGTCTCCCCCCTGACCAGTCCATGGACCGAGCCCTCGCAGGCCCTCCCCTGGTGCAGGGATTTTCCTCTCTGGGACCTGGGGGCCACGTTGCTGGGCCTGCCTGGAATTGTTTGAAAAGCAAAAACAGCCCAGCCGGTGTGGACCAGTGGTTGAGCATCAACCTATGAACCAGGAGGTCAGGGTTTGATTCCCAGTCAGGGCAAATGCCCGGGTTGTGGCTTGATCTCCAGTGTGGGACATGCAGGAGGCAGCAGATCAAGGATTCTTCCTCATCATTGATGTTTTTTTCTCTCCCTCTCCTTTCTTCTCTGAAATCAATAAAAGTAATTTTTTTTAAAGCAAAAACATGCTATGCACAATGTCTGGGGTTACTTCTGTTAACTCCACGGCAGGGAGAGGCAGCCTTGGAGGCAAAGCCCGCATCGTTCTATCCATCCCCTGCACACAGGTTCCCCGTCTCTGCAGCCAACATGCCCACAGCTGACTTCCCTTTCCCTCTGCCTCTGCCCCTGCCTCTCCACACCTCTGCAGGCCCAGCTTCTCCCCACAGCCAACCCCAAGCCAGTCCTTCCTAGTCAGAAAGCAATGTAGGCCCACGACCTCAAGTGATGCCCGTTTCCTGCTTCATTTCACAGTCCCCGCAGTCAGACCGTGGGAAGGGATCGGCTGTTTCTCCCCCTGAGCGCAGGCCTCCCCAGTCAGGTCTCTCCCAGAGCCAGGCTGGGCCAGGCCACTTCTCCACCCCTCTCACCCCTTCCCTCAGCATCACAGGACACTTCCAGAAGCCTCTTTGCCTGTGAAAACCCATCATAGGCTGTACACCAGCCACAGGCACGTGTGTATGAGCAGGAAGGGCAATAAAGTCCGAATCCTGTCCACATTCTCCCCTACTCCATCCCTCTGTGCCTTGGCCGTGGGGAGGGTGTGTACCGATGGGAAGGAAACCTTCAGGTCTCACAAGATTGATGTGGACAAAGGATTCGCAGACGTGGCCCAGGTGAGCCTTCTTCTGGGTGAGAGCTCTCGGGACTCCCCTTCTCCTCTCCATCCCCAGGGATGGAGGAGTTGGGAGAAAAGATGAGCCTTCTCTCCCCACCCACCCAATCCTGCTGGAGCTTCCCGGGAAACAGACTGGGTCAGAGAGACCCTTCAGGTAGAATGTACCTGTCACTCCCGCCTGTCCTCCCAGTGAGATGGAGACTTCTGTAGCTTAGGGACTCTGTCCTCACACTTTAGCACTGCCTGGCCTTCTGCAGGGTTTCCTAAGTGCCCCTGCGACTTATCTCTGAATCCGACTCAAGCCCTCTCTACGCCATTCATCAGCGGCCCACCTCCCTGGCAGCATCAGAGTACGCTGGTCCCAGCAATGGTCCAGTGTGCCTTCCGGCACGGGACTGGGACCACACACATCTTTTCCAACATCTCCTCAGTGGGCTTGGGCTCCAAGGGGTGAAGTTTCAGGGAGTCTTTTCCCGTAAGGAGCTAAACAACAGTTACTCATACGTTCCCAGTTCTGTTGAACTCTTCAAGGACAAATAGCCAAGCTGGATAGAGCCAGCAAGCGCCCAAGAATTTAATCAAGGGCAGCGAAGCATGAGCCTTCCCCTAGGGGCAGTCACCTGAGAGAGCGGGGCCTGTTCTAAATCCAGAGACAGCATTAACCTGTTGCTTTCAACGGGGCTGTGCTGCCCATTTAGATCTGCTCCCCGGGGACAAGTGGCGTGTGCATAGACCCTGGTGGACACAATTCCTGAATGCCAGCCAAGTAACACCGGTGTCTGTGCACTTGGGAGAGAGGGAGGGAGGGTCAAGGGCATCGGGACATTCGAAAAGAACTGAAATTCGAGGCTTATACTTTCACAGAGCACCAAAGACATCTGCTCTCAGAGGGGGAGGTGGGTGACATGCTTCCAACCAGAAGCAACGTTTACCAGGCTGCGTAACTGCAGGACGGAGCATGGCACGCGGGGCATGCACATGCACACACTGGGGAATGGATTTAGGAAAATAACAGTCATCTTTGAGTGATTGCTCCGAAGCGATGCTGGGTGAACTCAGGTTTCTTTTTTGCCTAGGGACCTGAGCAAGTCATGGCACCCATGTAGGCCTCACTTCCTCCATCTGTGCAGTGGGTGAGCTGGCCTTGATGAGCCCTTAGAATGACTGCTTAAAAGTAACCCTGTTCTCTGTGTTTTCATGTGATGATGTTGGGTTGAGTTTTATATGAACAGGCTGAGCCCTCTGTAAGAGTTTTCGGGAAGCAACTGCTTGGGGTGCAGCATCTTTGGGTTCCCAACAGCCTTGAGGGGGCCCGCTGTCTGCGTTCTTCTTGCTTCTTTCTGCTGTTCTCTTCAAACAGAACCAGGGAGTCCCGTGTGTATGGGCATCTCTCCCGCTGTTTGCTCGTGGATTCTGACAAGGTAATGGCCAGGATGGCGACACTCATCCTCTGAACGTCCTTTATAACAAACCCAGCAGAGAACGAACCCCTGTGACCCCTTTGACCTTCAGGCTATTTTTTGTTTCTGGTTCACTTTTCTAGGCGTCTCCCTCCTGTACATCTCCACTCTGATTTTTCCCTCACCCCTTTTTTTTGGGGGGGAAGGTGTTTGTATTCTGTTTTGTGTCCCCGATGTCCACACAGTCCCTGCTTGCTCAAGAAGATCTATGAGTGACATAATGGAGCCAACCACTTTCTGCCACCCCGAGTGGCGTTAATATTATTCACGAGTCATGCATGTTCCAGGAGACAGCGGACTGGGAACGTTTCGGGCCTTCTCCCTTCTGGCTCTACACTAAGTCATCGCAATTCTGTGCTTTCTTTTTTTTTTCTTTCTTACTTTTTTTTAATCATCACCCAAGGATATTTTTTCCATTGATTTTTTAGAGAGAGTGGAAGGGAGGGGAGGAAGGGAGAGAGATAGAGGAACATCGATGTGAGAGAGACACATTGATTGGTTGCCTCCCCCACACACCCCGAACAGGGGCTGGGAACATGCCCTTGACCGGAAATCGAACTTGAGACCCTTCATTGAGCCAACACTCCATCACTGAGCCACCCAGTCAGGACACAGTTCTGTACTTTCTTTTCTCAACCTGTAAAATCAGAATGATCTTAGTGGCCCCGAAGTGCATACAGATGGCTTTCTCTCAAGCTCCTTCTCAAGCTGCCCATCACTCCTACTTCGGAAAATGTCCAACTGCCGTGGAGAAGAGCGAGGTGGTAAACAGAAGTCTTTAAAACGAATTACTGTGGCCAACCACCCTCCATTCATTAGTGGGCAAACTTTGCTTTTTGTGCCAGTAAATGCACTCACAGTGACTTGAGCTAGCAACACGATGCGCATTCTGGCATGCTGTCCTTCTCGGGCCCTATAGCACTAACAGCAATATGGCTGGCATCGCTAAAGTGGCTCGTCTGAAGTAGGTCAGAAACTAAACCCCAAAGTGCTGACTTTTCCAGAAATTCTGAACTGCGTGACCGCATTTAATAATTTAAGGCCTCTTGCCACACCTGCCAAGTGGAAGGAGGAGGGCTGTGTGGAGGACACTGGGGTCTGACAGAGGCATGTCTGCACCCAGCGCGGCCTCTTTCTGCCTTTGGGATTTCTCAGCTTCCTCAGCCCAGAGCTTCCCCAGTGCACCTGAAGGGGAGTCATGTGGACCGAGACGCTGATACCCTCAGCCTCATCTAAGACCTAGGCACTCAGGGGAAAGAGACTCATGTGCACTGTGCTGAAATGCTCCTTCTGCCCTAGCCGGTTTGGCTCAGTGGGTAGAGAGCATCAGGCTGCGGACCAAAGGGTCCTGGGTTCGATTCGGGTCAAGGGCACATACCTCGGCTGCAGGCTTCTCCAGGGTCCAGGCCCTGGTCAGGACGCGTGCAGGAGGCAACCAATTGATGTGTTTCTCTCACATTGATATTTCTCTCTGTCTTTCCCTTGCTCTTCCACTCTCCCTAAAAATCAATGGAAAAATATCCTCATGTGAGGATTAAAAGAAAAGAGAAGAAAAATGCTCCTTCTCCCCAGATATGCATGTGTTTCAAAGGTGCAAAAAGCAAGTGGTCGTGGGCTTGTTTCTGAGGAGGAGGCAGCTGAAAACCCAGCTCACTGCCCCACACAATCCCTGTCTCCCCGTAACATCTGGGGGCCGTCAACTCATCTCCCCGTGGCCAAGAGGCCATGGTGGATATGGGGAAGGGGGACCGGGGTTAATGCTGAGAAAATGCTCTTTTCCATTCAAAGTTTGTTCATCACCTGGACTTTGGAGAGGTTTCCTGAATGAGGTCAGTCAACTCGCAGGTGTTTATTTCAGAGCCACGCTTGGTCCCAGCAGCCAGCCTGCCACTGGATCCTGTGTGTCCTGCCTCTTAGCATCTCCTGCTTGGCTTCCCCAGCAATGGTCTACCTTGTGCTTTGCAGACAAAGCAACCTTTTAAAAATATGACCTTACGCGGTTTCCCACTACCATCAAGACACTGCCCAAGCTCCTTAGCATCGCACACAAGGTCCTGCGTCACGTGGCCTCGCTCTTCAGCTTCTCCTGTCTCATCTCTCTTCACCCCCACCCCATGCCAACCACCCCCAGTCACACCAGCTTGGTATTCTTTGTACATGTAGCACTCTCTCGTGCCTTCGTATTTTTGTAAATGCCATTTTGTTTGTTCTGGAATGCCCTTCCTCTTGCCCCCACCAGGCCCCATCCTGCCTACCCTGAGATTTTAGGATCATACTTCCATGAGGTCTTCTGTAGGCAAAGTAGGATGTCCTTCCTGTGAGTGCAAAGATGACATCGTGACTACACTGCAGTGTAACTGTCCCCATTCATCACGGTGTTTACCCTGCCAGGGTCAGAGCCTGTTTCCCGAACATTCCCCCTACACTGTAAGTGCCAGAGGACAGGGGCCCTTCTATCAGGGCATGGGACCTATCACAGTTCCCAAAACACAGTGGGTGCTCGTTATAAGTTTGTTGAAAGGAAAAATGAAGGAAAATCCCTGTATGGATCATGATAACATCAATAGACGGGTAATCACGAAGAGAAGAAAGACAGTAGTCATCATTAGCATCTTAAATGGTAGAACCAGGAGGAGTGAACGTTGGGTGAGACACATAAGCCATCCAGTGGGAACTTTGAGGAGTTAGGAAACCTGGGGTCGAAGGAGGCCAGGGAAACAGGAAAAGGCTAAGCATTGGAGTCAGAGTGGAACCCCTGGGAAACCCCTGAGCTGTGACAGGTCCAGGGAAGATTCATGACCTAGTAACCTAGCGAAGAAAACGCATTGCTGAGCCAGAGGCAGGGACGTGCATGAGAAACCTGAGTCTGAGCTCCGCGGAGCAGAGCTTCCTTGGCAATCAGAGGGCATCACATACTTTTCACCAAGTGCCACCAACAGCCAGTGCTCCCAGAACATCCACTAGTGACCTACTCACTGTGCTTCTTTGCAAGTTCAGCCCTGCACGCCCCCCCCCAAAAAAAAAACATCTGCTGCTACTCATCCCTTCCCAGATACCCCTACCCCATCCATCATTCCTGGGGAAATTTAGTGCAGCCACATTTTCACAGAACAAGGTAGTGTAAGACAACCCAAACCGCGCTCATGTCTGAAGGGCACCCGCAGCCGGGCTGGGTACATCCTCGCCTACCACGGCCTTCTTACCACAGTCGCTATATCCCACTCCATTTTGGATGCCCCACTCAAGGAAACAAGCACACATTTTCCCCTTAAGCTTGCCATTCACAATAGACACACTTCTTTTGAACAACTATTCACAGAATCTACAAGACAGAGATGTTTGGAGAACGAGGCTCCATGCCTGCTCATTCTTGGGCTCATACAAGGCAGAGCATAGGACAGTGGCATTCACTGTCGTAGAGCTTTTGACCCAGCAGGGCTCAGGGAGCTGGACAATGTTGGGAAATCCAAATGCATGCCCTGGGCATCATGCAGCATTACATAAAACGAAGGAAAGGCATTTTGATGGAGTGAAATGTTTTACTAACACCTTTCACCAGAGGTGAGTCTTAAGCCTTTTCTCTACTAGACCCCACTGACACCTGTATCCTCCAACTGAGCCATGGAAAAGGCCTGAGAGAGGTTCCGCTGTTTTCAAGGTCTTGCAGCAACGGGAGATGCCATCAGGGACAGACGCTCTACCTACACACCCGTGTACCACCAAGAAGAGAGGAGCTGGTGCCAGGCATGAGGCTTCTACGGCCCTTCAGCTCAGGGCTGTGAAATGAAGCTCACAGCTCATAACCCACATGGGACCAGAGCATCCCGTGAGTGAGTGAAAGCCACGCCTGTATCCGCCTGGGAATGTTTAGATTTGAGGTGGTAGAAAAGGGGCTACATTTCCATCAGAATTAACTCCTTTTTGCTACAAAGGGGCATCGAGGCATTTCGCCTCCTTACCTCATGGGCTGCTTGAGTGAATATTGAGACAAAAGCTCAATGTCTTGGTCCCCAAGAAAGCAGCTGGATCCTTGATGCGAGCAGGTCCTTGCACCTTTGATCCAAGAAATTGGGTGTCCCGGGCGAGGGTGCCCGAGGCCCCGTTGGTTTTTATGAGTCTGTGGGTCAGCTCAGACTGGCTGCCTACTCATCTATATGCAGCGGCTCTCAAAGAACACAGTTTACTTTAGAACCGGATCCAACAGGAGTAGGCGTGGCAGTAAACCAGGCTAGATGCACCAGAGGTGTTGAGCTGCGGGGGCTAATTAAGAGGGATTGTTTATGGAACCCTGACTTGGAGCCAGAAGCCGAATTTGCTCAGGCTGACAGTGTCTCAGTCAACCGTGTGAGGTTGAGCCCATGTGCATCGGGGCTACATGCTCCCACGTGGGGACATTGGGGATTCCCACGGAGCCCCTCCAAAGTTTTTTCTGCTCGGTGACTCATTCTGTGGCCATGGGTCAGGCTGCCCTGACTGTCCCTTGGCCATTCATCTGTCCCCCTGATCCCAGCACAATGGAGGGCTTTGGAGCAGAGACTGTATTGCAAAGCAGAGTGGGAGCCAGGCCCTGCGACACCAACCATGTCACTTGGGGGCAAGTCCCTAGCCTCTCACCCTCAGAGGTCTGCGGTGGGAGTGAGATAATGTATGTAATGCACTTGGCAAACACTTGACATTGAGTAAACATTCGTGAAAACCAATGTACCCCACATATCAGCTTTCTTTCCTCCTTCCCACCTCGATGCTCTAGTATTATCTCTCTCTCTCTCTCTCTCTCTCTCTCTCTCACTGAGAAGAGGTCTTATCTCACACACCGAGACAGGCTACCACCCAAGCATCAGAAAACAGTCTCCTTAGGAAGCTGCTCTTCTGTGTTCTTGGAGTGACAGGGGGTGGATACGAACAGGCCACACATCCCTTCACTGTCCGTCTCCTCCACAGATGGCCACACAAGATGGTACCAGGTATCGCATCTACAGGAGCCCACGGGATGGGAAGAGCAGGAGGGCTGCAGGGTGGCCCCGGGGCTCAGGGGTGTGTGCCAGTGGCGCAGACGCCCCAGATCGCACAGATTCAATGGGGCATGATTCCCACAGGAAGGAGCGAGTGGAAACAAGTGCATAATCACACGGGGAAAGGAATTTGTTTTTAATTTTCAGGATACAAATTTTGTCCTAACTTTGTTAGTTATTCCTAAGTTGTTATTTTTGATGTTATTGTGAATAGAAGTGTTTTCCTTATTTTTATTTTATTTCTCATTGAACTTATTGGGGTGACGTTGGTTAATAAAATGATCTAGGTTTCAGGGGTACAGTTCTATACTATATCATCTGTATGTTGTATTGTGTGTGTTCAGCACCCCAAGTCAATTCTCCTTCCATCACCATGGATCCCCCCTTGACCCTCTTCTACCTCCCCCTTTCCCTTGGGTCATCACCACACAGGAAATTTTGTTTGCAAACACTTAGAAGTATAACCAGTTGTCCCAGAAAGGAAAAGGAATCGAGTGGTTGTAAGTAAGACGACTTACAGTAGCATTTCCATGTGCAGTTTGATTGTCGGGGAGCTATTCTAGGGAGAGCAGGACCACGGGGAAAGAGGAGGGAGTCAGAGCTTGTGCTGACCATGACTTTCCCCTTCCCAGAAGGTCTCCTGTGAGCATACTATTGCCATCCTTGCTCCCCTGTCCCCAAAAGTACCTCTTCCAGGCTCCACTGTGTGGCCCACTAATTACATTTCCGGGGATCCACCCCACCTTTCAGGGTGCCTCCCAGCCCCAGGCTCACCCCTCCCCGACTGTGAGCATCCCCCCCCCCAGTGGGGTATGGGGCCCTGGGAATGCGCCCTGAGCATGGGGGTCGGGCCCTGGCTGCTGCTCTCAGAAACAGTGGAGCAGGGTGCCAGCTCCAGGAGGCCTTGGCGGGGAGGAGGGAGCCCCGGAGAGCGGCTCTGGCTGGAGAACTCTGCATGGCCCTGGGGACCCTCCTTGAATTCTGGGAGGCTAGGATGTGTCAACGTCTCTCCCTTGGATCACGGGTGGTGGCTCTACCAGCTCCTGCCCAGCTTGGTGCCTGCGTCTGCGAGGCCCTGGGCTGGCACCCGGGCTGTTCCACTGGCTGGGAGCTCTCAGAGGGTCAGCAGGAGAGGCACTGGGGTCTCACAGGACAATTCGGGAAAAGGGCTTTCCCCATCCAATTTCCAGAGGGGATTGCGGGGGAAGAAGGCCAACTTCTGCATGTGAGTTGTGGGTTTGCACTTCATTCACCCACTTATCCTCCAGGGGCCTTGAAATACACACACGCACAAGCCCACCCCTCTCGTAGGTAAACATCGATTCTCAGAGCCTCAGGAACAACTCTCTAATGAGGAAAATGAATGTTTTCTTAAGCGCCTCATTCATTTGCAAGGCAGGTACCTGCAGCACAACAGGGCCAAACGTCCAATTATTATGCAGACCAGGTAGTCATCTTACCTCAAACCAGCCCCTTGCCTCCCCACCTTCAAACAGCCCTTGGGGACCTGCTGGGAAAGAGAACGAGGCTGTTGCTAAGCAACGGGGAGGGCTGGGCTGATGTGCCCTTTCTCCCAGGTGCACCCTCTTGCTTGTGATGAGCAAGGGAAGACATTCCACAAGGTGGAACCCTGCACCTTCCCCTAAACCAGTGGTTCTCAACCTGTGGGTCGCGACCCCTTTGGCAGTCGAACGACCCTTTCAGGTGTCGCCTAAGACCATCCTGCATATCAGATATTTACATTACGATTCATAACAGTAGCAACATTACAGCTATGAAGTAGCAACGAAAATAATTTGATGGTTGGGTCACAACAAGAAGAACTGTATTTAAAGGGCCAGAAGGTTGAGAACCACTGCTAAACCAACAGGACTCAGCTCCTCAGTCTCTCCCTGGCCCAGAGTCTTCATGGAGCAGTTCTGCTCCTGCCACGCCCATCTGCCGCTCTTCCCGCCTCTCTGTGCCACAGGGAGCCCTGGCAGCGGGCACCTGTACCCTCCTGCTTCCTGGGCTCTGTGCTAGGCCTGCTGGTGGCCACCGGCTTCAAAGCACCCAGAGCCTCGGCCTCTGCACTGAGCTGCGGGGCCAGGTCCATGGAGGGTTTTTTCCTTAAAGAAAGTTGGAACATCTCAAAGACACCCTTATCGCGACTAATTTCCCAACAGGCTCAGTTTGGATACACAGGAGGCCGTTGGAGGTGCCTGTGTGATTCAGGGGAAGCCAGGGCAATCCATTCACTCGGGGACAAGTCTGAAGGGTCAGAGGTCTGAACAGGCTCAGGAGCAGCTGGAGGGCAAGCAGGCAGACTCGGCACCTGGAACCCAGTGCTGGGTCCCAGGAAGGGGTGCAGGATGGACCACCGGGGTGAGCGTGGCCAGTCAGGGCAGTGCTGCCAGGGCACTGAGCAGAAGATGGGAAACAACACGAGGTGAGCGCAGCGCCCTGTGTGTGCTCAGTGCTTGGCACAGGGCACCTGGTTCATGCTAATGCCCTCAGGGCTCGGCGTTGTTTTTGATAGATCCTCCCTTCCCCCAACTGGTGGGCAGAGGATGACGTAACCTGCAGCCCATAAATACCTGCGTGACTAACCGTGTACCTTATATGGACTATACATTGGACCACCAATCCACACCTGCCAAATACCCTAAGCCCATGTCCTATATGGACAACGCAGTAAGCCACCATCAGTGTGCACCGAGTACATTAAGCCCCCCACCCCTTCCCATTCCGCCCCTCAAAAGGCATGCTCACCCCTGCACGTGCTGCTGTCCTCCCCTTGCGAGACAGCTTGGCAGGTCCTTCTCCTCTAATAAAGCCTGTAGTCCTGGTTTTCGCCCTCTGTCTGATTTTTCAGTTTTCATCTATGTACCCTGATCTCTGGGCACAGCACACAGGGTCAAACTCAGGCCCACCTATGACGCCAGGCTCCTCCGCCCATTGCCTCCCTGATAGGGTTACCAGGAAGGTGGCCACAACCTCCCCGGATGAGGGAGCCGAGGAAATGAAATTAAAGAAATTCGAAGTTGAAAATGTGGTGAGTTGAACAAATGTTGATTTTGGCTCCCTCCACAAAAACCAGGAATAAAGACATTTTTAAAAAAATGTATTTAAGGTGAAATCCATAAAGACAAAGAACAGGAAAGGAGACAAGAGCAGCCAAGGGACTCCCACGAAGCTTTAGGGGGCTGGGAAGCAGGACAGGACAGAGCAGCGAGGGCGGAACCCAAGGTCCGGCAAGGGAGTCACCCCCAGGATGCCAGCTGCAGGCTCACAGAGGCCAGGCTGGGCAGCCCAGGTGCGGCTGAAGGCAGCTGATGGGTGGGGCCGGAACCAGGGAAATGGGTTGAAAGTCTTTATCCAAAACAGATTCTCCAAGCTGGGGTTTCCTCTTGGAGAAAACTGAGTGTGGCCTTGTGAAGGGGTTGTGTGAAATCTGCTGCCTGAATGGGAGACGCAGACCCCCTCCTTCCACGCAGCACCCAGGTGCCTGAGGGCAGCCATGCAGGAGGGCGGGGTTCTCACAGGGAAAACTCAACAGCTGAGAGGAAAGACTTTGGACCCTGACACCTGGGAATCACCTCACCTGCGGGATCAGACACAGCCTCTCCTTCCCGCTCCCAGCTTCCAAAGGCCAGCAGACAGTAAGGAAAGGTGCTAACGGCTGGGGAACCTTTTTCCTGCCAAGGGCCATTGGGATAATTATAACATCATTCTCAGGCCACACAAAATTATCATCTTAAAAATTCACCTGATATATTTGGTCAGGCATTGAATTAACTCACCCCTAATGCCTTGGCAGGGCCAGACCTAATGATTTCGCAGGCCTTATACGGCCCCAGGGCCAGACGTTCCCCACCCTTGCAGGGAACGACCAAAACAAATCATAAAGGGAATTTGGAGAAACAAAGTATTTTTTTTATAACCGGAGAACTCCTGCAAAAAAAGCAAATGTGGGCAACTTATGATACGTTTCGAAAATATAACTATATAAAATAAATCTTTGGAAAAGGACCAAATATAGATAGGCCACCTTAGCACTAGGGACTGAGCTGTCTGGGGGGCTGAAGTGATGAATACACACAGGCCAGGGAGGCGGCCAAAGAGCCATAGAAATCCTGCTCTTTATGCTGAAGACTCCACCCACCCCCTCCCTGACTGT